CCCCCCCCCCCCCCGAGCATGGCCAGCACAATTTTTCTGAAATTTCTGTTCATGACCTGATTTGGTCATGAACTGAGGTGTTCATGAGCCGAGGTACCACTGTATTTGATCCAGAATCTTTATCAAGTAACCCTGTTATGTGCTTTATCATCCATAACCATAACCATACCTTCATAAATGTCCACCTTTCCAGATGTTCATAAAGTTAGAATACCATTTTGAAATGTTCAGGATCTGTGAATTATTCCTCATTCTTCCTTTTTAATCAGAGTTTGTTAGTTCCCCAATTTATGTAATTCATTCCTGGGAGAACAAGGCACCTCTTAATTCCAAAACTTCTCCCCTGTGGTAAAAGTTAATAGTCTCCAAATAAGCCTCTATCTTACAAAGAACCATCTCACAGGACTTCAGACTTGGTCTGTTAACTGTCTCTTGCTGTGCCAAGACTTTAAAATAGTCTCCTTTGTGATGTCAGGCATGACATCAGAATGCCAGTTTGAATTCAGCTAACAGCAACTGCCACTTACTTTTTGCAATTAAAGAAGCAACAGCCCAATTATCTAGGGTTACTGTACATGCCTCCCTGCCTTGTCTCATTTTTATTATTAATATTTTACTGTGGATTTCATAATCAAGTCCAAAGCCTTTGAAAATAAAAATATAATATTACAGATTTCTTGCATGATATTTGAATAAATGTATTACAATAAATACATATATACTATGTATCCCACTGTGCTATATTTAGGATAGAATATACTACTATGTTAAAGATAATTATGCATTGATTTCAGAAAAGGCAGTCCAGATATCCATGTATGTGTCTCTCAAGAGTTATACTTAAAAACCACATATCCAGGTATCAAAAGTTTTTCACTCATTGTATTATTGCAAGTAGCTGCTTTCCAGTGCTGCAATTTATGTATTTATTTTTAAATTTATATGCCACCTAGTCCAAAATGAATTATCTTGGTGGCTTACAATGCTGGGAACAATTGATGGCAAAAGAAACGGATGGCAGAGGTTGAGGTGGCTAGATGGGGTTACTGGGGCAGTGGGTGTGAGCTTGGGTGGTCTCCAAGGGATGGTGGAGGACAGGAAGTCCTGGAGGGATGTTGTCCATGGGGTCGCGATGGGTCAGACATACGTTTGTGACTAAACAGCAACAAGGTGGCTTACAATAAGATTGATAATTACAAATAATAAAAACAACAGCAAAACAGCTATAATGAAATCACAACAATATTAAACATAATTATATCAAGTAAGCGGGGCAACAAGGAATCATCATAAACAGCAGATCTCAAATCAATTAAAATATTCAGAGGAGAGAAACGTCTTCGCCTGGCACTGAAATGAAACTAACATTGGCGCCAGGTGGATTTCTTTGGGGACTGTATTCTGTAATTGAGCGGCAGCCACCAAGAAGGCCCTTCTTCTCTTCACCATCCCTTTCACCTCTGGATGGGATGGTTCTTATTTGTCTTTTGGCTGTCAAAAGCTTGCAGAGGATTCATTTACAGGAAACCCCAATTTTGGGGCTATATTTCCTGGAGTGAAGGAAGTAGAAGTTCATCTCTGGCTACTTTCATACAACAAGAGTTCAATGGGAGTGGTGCCTTCTGCATTAACAACAGCGGTCATTAAGAAACCTGCCCTGGACCAGCCGACAGGAACAACTTCCGACCAATTGCTAACATCCCTTTCCTGGGCAAGGTCACTGGGTGGGTTGCAGTTGGGCAGCTCCAGGCTCTCCCAGAGGAAACTGATTATCTAGACCCATTTCAGTTAGGCTTTAGGCCTGGTTTTGGAACAGGAACTGCCTTGATCGCCTGGGACTTAAGTTATGATTAAGGTAAGTCCTATTGATTTCCATGGGTCTGATCTAAGTAGGACTATACTTCTGCATCAATAAATAGGGTGTCACGTACAGAACAAAGTCTTTTTCTGCCTGATCATGTGATTAAACTGAATAGATTTTCAACTAAAGTGTAAGTGTGAGGGGCCCACAGTTTTCATTAACAGAGTTGTGCAAAATTATGAGAAGCAGTGCTTTTTTTGTAAGAAAAAAGGTGCCGGAACTCATGCAATTATTTACCTTTTGCATGTAGTCAGTCACTGTACACACACTCACACATGTCAGTTGTGTAATGAAACATAGCGGTCGCCACCCGCAGTAAGCACTCAGCGCGCGACCACACGACCAATCACAAAGCGAACAGCGCCATCACATCCAGCGTGGACGAAGTACGCATGCATTGGACTCGACACACAAGCAGCCCGCATGCACCATTTTAACGATTTTGCCGCCGACCTGCTATGCTCGACAGGGCAATTCCAATCCACATGGACCAAACATCAAATTTTCAAAAGTTACTTTTAAAACTTGGAAAATCTGTCGAAAAAAGGTGCCGGAACTCCGTTCTGGTGCGTTCTATGACAAAAAAAAGCACTGATGAGAAGAAAAGCAGAAGAAATATAAAAGTAGTCAACTTTAATCTTAATCGCATAAATGAGATCCAATTATTGTGAATCATTCTGCATTTTTCATCATGTGCCATGCACCCTAACTCTACATTGATTATCACTGAAGGCTAACCTGCATCTCCCCCTCCCCCTCGAAAGAACCAGCTCTGCTCCTACACTAATCTCAATACTTGGGCTAGAAGGAATAGGAACATGAGAGAAGCCATGCTGGATCAGACCCAAGGCATGCTCAGTGCGGCACTCCATTCACGTGATGGCAAACCAGCCGCCCAGGGGATCACTCCGGCAGAATGGCGCAAGACCTCTGCCTGACCAGCTGCTCAGCAACTGGTGTACGCAGGCATGCCACCTGTTGAAATAGGTGGCCCAGAGCCAGCGAGGCTAGTAGCCACTGATGACCTTCTCCTCCATGAATTTCTCCAATCCCCTTTTAAAGTCCTCCAAATCGTTAGCCATCAACATTTATTCAGTGAATCAAAATAATAATTAATAAAACACTCTGAAACTCGTTGGAGAGTGGGAGTTTTGCAAAATCTTCCATGGGCTGAAAGCCTAATTCTTTGCTATGGTTCATTTTACAAAAGTCATGTGCGGTTGAGAGCAGCCTTTGCCAATCTTGTGCCCCTGAGATCTGTTGCCCTATAACTGGCACAGGCCCCAACCAGCCAGCTGAGCCTGGAGTCAAGGTGCACCATGGGAAAGGGTGGACTAGTGCTGGGAAAGCAGCTGCCACTCTCTTCATCTCTGTTTTAAAACAGCACTCCACCCAGGCTGCAGATTTTCCCCTGGACACAGAGAGTTTATTCCAAGACCCGCACTTGGTGGATGCTGACAGACTCTGAGGCACATAATGGAAAAGAAGAATGGCTCACAATAATTAGATCTCACATACGTGATTAAAATCAAAATCGGCTACTGTTGTATTTCTTCTGTCTTTCTTCTTGTAATACCTCTTTCAACCCACCGCAAAGTAGGGACTGCAGGCAGAGTTAATTCCCACCAACTCCCAAGCCACTTTATAGATTATGAAAGTAAAAGTGAGGAGCAAGCATGTTAGTTTTTCCGGCACAATTAATGAGAAGTACAAGATCCTTTCATTATCCATAAGCCAGGAAATGTTCCAGTCTTTCCTTTGCGGGCCTCTCCTTGTGGCCTTGTCCCTTTGGTTACCCTTTCCCTCACTTTCAACATCTCTGAAGTCCTTTGTATCTTACAGCTGCTTCTGCGTAACCCACTGCTTTTCAACCCATGCACACACCAACGCTTGCCATTATAATTAAGTCATGTAACTCCACCAGTGTCATTGGTATTTTACCTTGTCTTGGGGCTGTTCCCTCGAAGTTTAAGTTGTTCAGATTATGAGTCAAAATCAAATTAGGTTTTGAATGACATTTGCTACACCTGCCCTCAAGATAGGATGATAACAAAGCTGCTTGCAGTGTCGTGAGGCAGTGAAAAGATGCCACCCTTTCAAAGCAGTCCCTTCACTCCTTCCAGGACACATAAACACATGAAGCAGGTACCTCAGGTTGGGTGGCCACACCTATCCTGCTGAACTCCTTCCCTGGAGGGCGGGCAACATTAACATAACTGAACAGTTAAGAACTCCCTTGCCCAAGAGGAGAGAAGGGAGACAAGAGCTTGGCGTTGCAGTGGGAGGACTTGTGTGCGTGTTGAGTTTTGGAAGGCAGCCAGGAAGATGTCTTCTACAACCACCAGTGCCACCTTGCCTAGTGGCATGAGAGTCTTGGCTTCTTTCCCTGATATTCTCATCATTCCTGAATTTGTAAGTAAGCTTTCCTTATTTTTAAGGAGGAATTCAGTTGATGGAGACACTCTGGTGGGCACCTATGAATGTTTAGTCAAAAGGAGTTCCCACGGTGTCCAAAGTGGCCTATTCCCTATTAAGAATATCCTAGGATCTGCCACTTCGCATCCTTAGGGACTTGAAGTGCTTCCAGACAAAGTTTTTTTTATATATGTGTGTGTGCATAATTGTCTGGCTTTACTCAAAGAATTTTACAGGGAGTCCAGACAAAGTAATCTTCCACTTGTAATCCTCCCATGTTTTCCCACCATTTCCCCTCTCCTTTTTCCAACCACAAAACATTTGTTAAGGTGGGAAAGAAGGAATAGATGTGCAATATCCTTTGACTGGTGGTGCTAACAGCCTTTTGTCTGGAAGCACTTTCTGCTTCCAAATCGTCCTCCTTTCTTTTATCTCTTCCCACCTCTAAAAGATCTTAGCTGCTATAAAAAGTAACTTTCTACAGAAATGTCTACCCTAAACACAACAAATTAGCCTGATTAGCATATATGTAGACTAAAGAAAGTATTTTCACTGCTTTCTCTCTGGTACCTGTGGGATTTGTGTTGTTTAAACTCCAATTCTGAACATCTTGCCTAGTAATTTTTTATTCCCAGAGTATGTGGAGTTGCTTGACCCTCAAGGTTATACTCAGCTGCTAATCCATGCATGCAGCAGCTGTACCTTGAGCAGGTGTGTGTAGCATTCAGGCAGCTAATTATTCAGCTGAACTGGTGGCCTACACAGTACGAAAGCAAATCTTTAAGGTCTGTGGAGCATGCGGCTCTCTAGAAAAGCATGGCTGGTTGCTCTCTTGTATGAAAAATGAGCAGGCACCAGACTGCTTTAATGTATATTGAAGTCTGTAGTGCATATTGGAATGGCTGCAGAAATGCGCAGCTTCTGCACAAAATGTAGGGTTGGTAGGGAGGTAATAGGACCAACAACATCTTTACCCCTGAGTTCTTCACAGTAGTGGCCTGATCTTCATTTGTGGATGATGCTTTCTTCTATCACATTATTTCCAGGCCATTCCATTCTTTATTCGCCCTTTTATCTAGCTCATCTCCCAAGGAACTAAATGTACACACAGCACATGCTCTTTCTCCTATTTATCCTTACAATAACCCTGTGAGGTGGGTTCAGCTGAAAGCGTGTAACTGATCTAAAGTCATCAAGTGAGCATCATGACTAAGTGAGGTTTTCACAGTGCATTTCCAACACTTGAACCACTACAGCAGAACAGGATTCCCAGGCCCAATGATTCCTAGGTGCTTCTGACCTCAAGTTCTATCATCCACAACAACTTGCCATGCTGGCTGGGGCTGATAGGATTGGGGGGAGGTGTCACCAGGTTGAGAAGGCCAACATAGAACATTAGGGCTCTGCTTATAACTTCAGCAGCTGAAGGTCAGCCAGAAATTCAGCAGGAGTTGTTTCCACATCACGGTGTTTCTGCCTAAAAGATTGGAAGTACTGATTTTCTATCTTTTAGGTGTGTGTCCAAGGTCAAAGACTTATGCTAAATGGCAGCCTGAGGCTTGAAGGAGTGTGAAGCACCTTTTATGTCTGTTTCAGATACTCATATTTTTACCTGTCTGTCCCCTGTTAGTGACTTTTAGTGACTGTTAGTGACTTTTTAAGGCTTACAGGCAGGTCAACTAAAAGGCTTTCCAGTTATTTCTTTCTTCAGCTGGGAAGAAACTGTGCTCTCTAAAATGTTCAAATATGCATATGGGATACAAGCCCTTGAACTTCAGTCAAGTCTGTAGCCTTTGGCACACCAGCCTGAGCTGCAGAGAAACCTTCCATGACTTCTGCACTTCTGGGGACCAGGTCAGCTACTCTTCCAACCACGAGTGCACGTAAAATCGAACATTTGGTTCAACACACCAGAATTCCATTGCAATTGATTTGGGTTCCATATGAATAGTTGTTTGTGCTGGATTGCAAAAGAGCCATCTAATGTGTGTGTCAGGAACATGTGGCCCACACAATCGGGCTAAGAATACCAATGGGTCTTGTCTTACTTCTGAAACAACAGCTGGTCTCCTGGACATGAATGTTGTATGCGAGGGAGAAATGACAGTCATCGGTCTAACTCTGATGCAGCTGTGGGGATGTGTGTGATTTGGATCAGGATCATGGTGTGACTCTCATGCCGATTCCTCAGAGTAGGATAATTTCAGGGGAGGCTTTTATTGTGCATTCATAGACCTTTTTAAGGGGTGTGTGTGATCCAGATGACATTATCTTCTACATGTAATCCTTTTGTGTTTTCCCAATGGTTCTTCTATCTTTTTTAATTTCTGCAAAAGAAAAAAAACCCATTAAGGAGGAAAAGATGGCATAGCTGCAGAATGTCTTTGGAATTGCTGTATGGATGCAACCAGATGACCAAATGGGTTGCTACAGCAATGACATAGCTATCCGCTGCGTGATTATCCTCAGGTCTAGTTTGACTCTAGAAGCGATGCTCCCCCAAACCTGCCACTGGTAACAAAGGAAAACTCAGCTAGAACTTTTCCGCATTCTGCAGTCAGTAGCAGGTGTATGTGCGTGTGTTGAGGAAGAATGAGATATATTGTACCATGGCTTGAGAAAGAAGGCAGCCTCTTGTGGAATAATACAAAGCAGTTGGCACTTCCAGCCATGGAGCTCCCATGTTTTGGCCTTAACGCTCAAGCTACACCATGATACCAGCTGTGTTTACTTATTCCCTTGACTCAGGGAGTCCCCAGCAGCCATCTAAGACCTGCTTTTTTCTTTCCATAACCGGTTAAACTCTGGGGAAATTCCAAAACCTTTGCTTGTAATACTACTGCTTGTGCACAAGGGGGTTGGGCCAGGCCACCTCGGCAGCCAGTTGAGGTTGTCCTCTCTGTTGACACAGCCTGTGCCTTTAAGCACTGGAGAACACGTGGCAATGGGGTGTTGACTTTTCTAACTGGGACCTGCCCTGTGGTACTGGGAGAACTCCACCTTGCTTTTTTTTTGTCTGAGTTGCACAATTATTAAAGGCATGGAATGTCTGTCTGTCAAAGGGTCAACCCTAATCTCCAGCAATGTTCTAAGAATTTAAGGAGAAATCTTACAACGTCTCCAAGAACAGCTTTGGGCTGCAGTCTTGCTATTAAAACCGATGAGTTGCGCGAACAATGGTGGCTTTGCTGCAGCAAAAATTGCTTCTGCTTCACACGCCAAAGCATTCAATCCATAGTGCACTGATAATGTTAGGCACTGGACTTAATGGCTTTATTCCCATCCTCCTCCTCCTGAGGGTAACATACTTCACTTCACTTGCTTTGAAGGATGGAAAGCCACTCTTGCTGTGTTTGGGGTGCTTCTGCTCATTCTGATGGGCGGAGCCTTGTGCTTCTGCTCCAAAGTCTGTCCTGATGGCACTGCTAGTCCCATCCATGTTTCACAATCCTGTAAAACCTCGTAGGCCCTGTGCCTCCTCTAAAAAAAAAAAAAATGCTCCTAAAGGCTGTAGACCCTCAAGAATAGAATGAATGCTGGTACAGAGGGCTGGAGTATGTGAGGATGGGGGATTTTCTGAACTTGCAGATGGGGGGATCCAAATCACATGAACAAAGACACTTTTTGTGAAGGCAAAGCCACTCTTTGATACAGGTCGCTGTTCTTTAGAACCAGGATTGCTCCTTCTGTGTGGTAGCCTTTGTGATGGAAAAGAATATGGGAGAGGAATGGAAGGAACTTGCCACCCGCCAGATGTTTTGGAGACAAAGGAGAGACTTTGGCTATTGGGCAGGATAGAAACATAGTGAATGAATGACTACAACTCCCATAATCTACCAGCCAGTGTAGTCTAACATATCTGGAATGCTGGGCTAAGTATTCCCCTCTTTGGAGAACATGTAAATTATCAGGCAGCCCAAAACAGCCTGCTAGTAGGAACCCATATTTTACTGGTCAACAGCTAGCTTCTTACTGGGGTCAGATCACTGAAATGAGCAACAACTGGGGGCCCAGCAAGACTAGCTTTATTTATTATTTATTTTTTTATTAAAACATTTTTATGCTGCCCCATTCGCTGAAGCCTCGGGGCGGCTTACAACAATAACTTTATGAGCTAAGAGGGCCAGCAAGACTCCTTCATTGAGAACCAAGACAATGCATGTGGCCAAAGCTCATGGCAGCTGAGGTGCATTTGGGGAAAACTCTGAAGGGCAAGAGTGATTTAGCAGCAGATGTGTCCAATGGGGTGAGATGCTTTCCTGCTGCTCCTCAGGCTGATCTAAATCACCCCATGTGGTTTCAGTGGACCAAATTGCATCTGGTCTAATTTTGGAGCGAAGCCATCCTCATCCCTTAGGACTGCCCCAACTCTTTTTAAAATGGGGTCAAATGGTGCCATTCAGAGCAAGAGGCCCATGTGGGTGAAAGAAGCTGAATCTCCTCTTCACTGACTGCTTGAATTACAACAGCCACTCTTTCACTTCCCTCAGTTTCCCCTCAGAGCCAAACTATCCCTGATGGGAAATACAGGCAGTCCCCAAGTTACAAATGTCTGAGTTATGAACAACCTGTACTTACAAACATAATGCCGTAAAACCTATGGATTAAAAAAAAAATACTGCAGAAATTCCTCATCACCATAGAGAGAAAGGAACTCAAAGGGTAGAGAGGGAGGTCTCCAAAACAACACCATAGAGAGAGGGGAAGTGAAAGTGTAGAGAGGGAGGTCTCCAAAGCTGATCTTCCTGCCTTTTCTATTTGAAGAGGGAAATCTCTCCCACATCTCCTTGCTGCAAAGAGGAGGTGTTGGTGATTTTGGGGTCTATTCATTTTTTTCCCACTGTCATAGGGGTTCTGTGCCCCTAACCCCACAAGTGTGGAGGGCTGATTATACATGATCTGACTTACATACAAATTTGCTTAAAGACAAATCCCTGTTTTCTCAGTAATAGAACTCATTTGTAACCCGGAAACTGCCTGTACTTGAAGTTTGTATT